TGCCCCCTGCTGGCTGAAACACCCCATCCCTTGCCCTGTGTGTGTGCGTGCGTGCGTGTGTGTGTGTGTTTGTGTGTGTGTGTCCCTGCTGCACCCTGCTGGCTGAAACACCCCATCCCTTGCCCTGTGTATGTGTGTGTGTGTGCCTCTGCTTCCCCCTGCTGGCTGGAACACCCCATCCCTTGCCATGTGTGTGTGTGTGTGTGTGTGTGTGTGTGTGTGTCCCTGTTGCCCCCTGCTGGCTGGAACACCCCATCCCTTGCCCTGTGTGTGTGTGTGTGTGTGTGTCCCTGCTGTCCCCTGCTGGCTGGAACACCCCATCCCTTGCCCCTGCATCACATCTCCTGTGTTTAGCTCTAGCTGCAGAGACTCTGCCCACCCTGCCCCCGCTCTGCTCCCCTGTCCAGATCCAGCGCTACAGCCACTGACCCTCCCCCCCGCCCCCCAGGGTCTGGGTCTCTAGGTGGGGCCCAGCATCCAGAGCTCAGCTGGCGCTGAGAGTCCAGAGTGGTTCGGGGCCAGGCTCTGTGAGTCCATGGCCCAGCCCTGTGGGTCCGTGGCCAGGCTCCGTGGGTCCCTGGCCAAGCTACGTGGGTCCATGGCTGGGCTCCGTGGGTCCCTGGCCAGGCTACGTGTGTCCATGGCCGGGCTCCATGTGTCCGTGGCCAGGCTCCAGGGGTCCGTGGGTCTGTGGCCAGGCTCTGTGGGTCCGTGGCTGGGCCCCATGGCCAGCGGGGAGCCGGCCCCATCCGGGGAGGGCTCAGTGCCTCAGGGCCGCGTACTGCACACTCGCCTCCGACTCCGAGTCCGACTCACACTCCCAGCGGCCACGTGGGGCCCGGGTGCGCGGGGGCAGCACCAGGGTGCAGTAGTTTAGCTCCTCCTCCTCCTCCGGGCGGGCCCCCACATTCTCATAGTCGCCCTTCGCTTCGCCCTGGGGAGGCAGGCGGGGATCAGAGAGAGACAGCTACAGATGCCAGCTCCCAGCTCCGCCTGCTGGGACCCCCCCAGATCCCAGCCCACAGCCCCCTGCCAGTCCAGCCCTGGGCTCCCCACCCCCCAGCTCTGCCGGTGCCCCTCACTCCCGACCCACAGCCCCTGCTATCCCAGCCCTGGGTTCTCCCCACCCCCAGCTCTGCTGGTGCCCCTCAATCCCAACCCACAGCCCCTGCTATCCCAGCCCTGCCCCCCAACCCCCAGCTCTGCCAGTGCCCCTCACTCCCGACCCACAGCCCCCTGCCAGCCCAGCCCTGGGCTCCCCCAACCCCCAGCTCTGCCAGTGCCCCTCACTTCCG